AATATTGACTGACAACCTCCACCATTATATTTTCTGTTTCTTCCAATCTGTTCCGTTTCAGTCACTCAACATCATTGCTGAAGAGTCCATCAGGATGTACGCTGCGTATTGGCAGAGAGTCGACAGGTTAACAAAAAGCCTTTTAAGAAAATGCGCTGCCAATTAGCTCATCAAAACACAGCGTCCCAGAGTGACACGAACTCCACCGCCACTGTCATCTCAGTATTCACTGTAAACGAAGGAGACTGGGAGAAGGTCCCTAGTTTAAAAGCACCACCAATATTTATAATACTACAAAATCATGTTTCGTTGAAGGTTTTAAAACGTTAATCAAAAATATGTACGGTAATATGTGTTGAAGGTTGTACACTACCAACAGTTACTTCATCTGGTGCAGAGATTACTGGCTTTTGAAACCCACTTCCTCGTCTGTTTTCGACACAAATCTTACTGCTCGCAGCTCGTCGAGATTTCCAAACCCTCTCACCCCCCCAACTCGCCTCCTTGCATTTTCAGCTGCTCGGCAGTGATCATGCTGCCATGAGTAAGTGAATGGCAGCACTTAACAGTTTGATGAGGATGAAATGTACAAGGCATCATGATAACATTATTTTGGTGGCACATCAGCTCTTCTCTTGAGAATTTGCGATAGTGTGTCTGATTATTGATGTCACTTACGGGCCACCATAAGCTTTGTGATTTAAAGACATGGATAAAACCTAATGCCACAGCTATAACTGTCAGAATTAAATACTGCTCCTAGATGGATAAAACAACAGTCCAAAAAAAAATGCTGATACAAACTGAGAAGGGAGTAAACATTGAACCTGACAAAAATCCTCTAATACCATAAATTAATTTATTGAATCAAATCTCTTTTTGTTTGTCCAGGGTTCTTTGTGCTGGAAATATCATTTACACGTGTTTCATCTCACATGTCCAAGGCGGACATCTTCTCCCCACCTGTTCTCACACCAGGGGAGGCTTAAATAAAAAAATAAAATCTGTGCTCATGAGCAGTGATCATAAGCAATCTATCGCTCGCTGTGTTTCCAGGTAGCATTTGGAGAGATGCAAGAACCACCCCCTCTTTATATTATGCAACAACAAGATGTGAACTTTAAATGTTAAATATGATATAATGCAGATGATTAATAGTGTTTGTCTGTCTCTGGGTGGAGTGGGTTTGTTAAGTTGGAAGGTTTCTGAATTGCACAAATGGATATCAAGATGTCTCTCTGTTGATTTCTGGATTGTGGCAATAATGTGGCAATCATTCTCTTCCCCGTGGTTGCACAGCCCACCCACATGGGACTCTAAAGCGAGATCAATGAAATGCAAATACTGTTGGATCCGGGTCTGCTTTGTAGTCGTCAATCCTCTGTAAGAGCTGTTGACGAGGCTTTGTCTCACATTTGACCTGACGTCATGTCAAATACAGCAAAGATACCAGCATACACTTCTTTTTCCTTCATGTTACCGGCAGTTAAATGTGGTAGCTACGTGGGGATTGAAATGACCTCCAGCATGGGTGTTGGGGGGGTGGTGAGGGGGTGTTGGGGGGGTGGTGAGGGGGCCCCCCCCCTGATAGTGCCCCCCCCCTGATCGAATAGCCCCATGGGGGAGCAGCTTAGTCCGTCCACTTCATGCATTCCCATTTGCTGGTTATAACCCTGATGGGGATGTTTAAGGATGGGAAGCCTTAATGCCCCCATTTGTTTTCCTGTAGGTAATCGATGGCAGACTCAGGGTTACAGCTAATGTGATTTATGTGTCCTATTTCCACTGTTATGCTTCATGTACAAATTGTCTTTGGTGATGTAAATTCCCCAATCTTTTCACAACTTGCTGACACCGAATCCCAGCTGACAAACCCGAGCAATTAATCCATGTTTGTGTCCATCGCCTTTGTTTTTTTGTCGCCCCCCCCCCCCCCGCAAACAACTCCTGCAAAACACGTGTTGAATGTCAAGACACTGAAAACCTGATGTCTCTCCGTGCAATGACGACAATCAAAGAGACAAAGGATAGAAACGTTCCACCCGTGTCATTATCTTGTGATACTTCTAATTGGGAGGTATTTCTATCGGGTTTCCGTAGCACAATGAAATTAAACATGCCTCACTCTTGACTCTGAAGTAAATCATCTGCAGTCGAAACACAAAGGAAATCACATCAGCCTCAACAGTGCATGATGTGTTTTAAAAGTTGTAAAAGAAAAACCCCTCATGTCATCAGCATACTGTGCTTTTCATAGACAGAAACAGTCGTCTGAAAATAAAAGCCGTGTAGACATTTGCACAAAGAGAAAATGACGAATAGGTTGCTGATTGAGCCAACAATTGCAATCAGCCAAAAGAAGGAACTGCCCGATTCTCTCACTGCGATGGTGAGGTGTCATTTGTTTTTACTCTTCCAGCAATGATTAGAAAACATATTTTATGCATTTATTCCAGCTGAGTTGAAGGTGCAGCTTGCATTGGTGAATTTCTCCCATGACATCTTGTATGATGCGACGAGGAAACGCGTTTCTCAAGCTGCTGCACTTGGTTGTCAACTGAACATTTCTGCGCTATGCTCTGAGAAAGCATGCTCAAATACTTGCATGAAAGCAAATATCACATTTAAAATGCGAAATTATTGTAGCTGGTGTTTTGTCATCTGATATCTGCTGTATGTTGACCTGCAGTGGATGATGCAGTGGCCCTGTCCAGGAGCCAAGGACAGTCCTCTGTAGGAGGCATGATGGACGAAGGAGAAAGGGCAGAAGAGGACACACAAGACCCCTGGATGTATTTCTGTTGGCCGAAACCTCGTAAATCATAACAAATATAACTTCCTGTTGTTACTACAGTATAATTACATTAATCAGGAATGAGAACTGTGACACAAACAAACTGTAATAAACCATGAACCAGTGCATTAAATCGGCTCAATCTAAAATAGACAATACCCTAAAGAGACAGCGATGGGATTCCCTCTACGCTCATGAATTATAAACACAGAGTGAAGAAAGACAAAATGCTGAGTATGTATAAGAGAAGATATTCAGCAGATGAGAATCAGAGTCCGAGCTCAGGTCTACTGCCCTTTTAAATGGAGAGGTTATCATGGTGTTGGACTCCACTGTGTATTACAAAAGGCATGTAAATGAAGATATACATTATAGATCACTGGGTGAGACATGGGAGGAATAACAAAGTGGGAGATAGAGGTGCTGTGTCAATCTCCCATACTGATTTTAGGGGGGGGGAGTGAAACTATTAAGATCTCGGAGCTGTTCCCTCGTGGAACAGACGAGCCGTCCACTCACATGCATTCACAACTCAGGCGTTTAGCTGTTGCTACACAGCAAACGAGTGGGCAGGTAGCAGTTTGGTGTCCGGCTCAAGGACACGCGGCTGTTAACGGGCGCGCTGCCTGTCACGGGCATCAGACCTGTGACCTCTCATTACAGTCTTCTCACCATGGGGGGGCCACCTTCTCTAACAATCTGTTCTTGACGTGTCGTAGTAGCGGTAGACTGCTGGCAAAGCAGGATCCAACTCATCACTGCGCTTGTCGTGGCTTAATTATGGCTGATAAATCCAGAGGAAATAGTCAATAAGAGAGCAGCTTGGTGAAAGGCAAACGGCTGTTTCGCTTGACTGATTTTTATTTTTTTATGCTTCCATGATAAAGGCAAGTCAAACAGCCATGAGGGCGGCTGTCAGCTGATCCACAGCTGGTAAGTCCTTAACCATATTCATTGAAAAAATCTGGATGATTGATTGCAATTATGTTCAGTTGTCATGACACAGTTGGATGTGTAGTGCAGCCACACTGCATAGAAAAATACTCTCTGACTCCTCAATAAGTGCAACTCATGGAGTGAACAGCACAAAGGCTTCACACTGTATAGCAATGAAAGCAGTTTGGTTCCTCTGAGGAAGGATTATTGCTAATTGGCCCAGCTGGATAAACAGAGCTAGTCCACGTTAACATACTGCATGGTGGAGAAAACGCACCAACCTTTCCTCACCTTTATATATTTTTGCACAAGTATTATCTGCCAGCCCAGGCATTATTACATCTCAGTGGATAAAAATGTTCCCTTGACATTTAGCACCAACCCCGCACGTCCCCCCTGCTCTCTCTCTCTCTCTCTTTTTCCCTTTTCTCTTCCTATCATGTCACTCGGCCTCCTCGTCTTGCTGTTATTTTGCCCCCTTTGTCATTTGCTCTCTCCACATCTGTACATCCCCCATCTCCCCTCATCTCTTTTGGTCCCTGGCCCCATCTCAGGCTCCTGATTCACCGCTCTGTCGGGAGATCAATAGAAAGGCTCTCTGTCAGGAGGAGCCACCGCACGACTCCCCCCCCCCCCCCCCCCCCCCCCCCCCCCCCCCCCCCCCCC